TCCCACACATTAGCACGTTCAAACTGACTCATTTCTTCGTTCATAGCCGCATTCCAATTTTCATCATTCAAGGCATCTAGCACATTCTTAGGTTCAAACAATGACACAAAAGCAGAGTGCACAATAGAATTTCTAGAACGAGTGACCATACCTTCATTTAGCCCTTCTATCATAAGAGTAGAAGGATGACGTTTGGCAATACGTGGCGGAGGTTGACTTACATCTTGGTCTTGCTCGATCGGAGAGTTTGTGGTACTTACTGTTTTATCTTAGTCTTCAGATATGATCGTTCTGGGTTCAGATTTCTCTGTGTTTGATGTCCTTGGTAGATCATAGTTCCCACCAAGTCCAAAGTCATCTTCATCTATCTCATCTGAGCACTCATTAGCAGATTCATCAAATATCACATTTATGGACTCTTCCACTTTGAGAGTCCTTTTGTTGAATATTCTATATGCTTTGCTAGTCATGGAATAGCCCAAAAACACACATTCATCGGATTTAGCATCAAACTTGCCAAGATGATCTTTGGTGTTTAATGCAAAGCACTTGCAACCAAAGGGATGGAAGTAACTCAGATTGGGTTTTCTTCCTCTCCAAATCTCATAGGGAGTCTTCTTAATTCCAGATCTGATCAAAGCTCCATTAGTAATATAGCATGCAGTATTTATGGCTTCAGCCCAGAAGTACTTTGGCAAACCATAGTCATGTAACATTGTTTGAGCTATATCAATCAAAGTTAGATTTTTCCTTTCCACCACTCCATTTTGTTGCGGAGTTCAAGGAACAGAAAAATTGTGACTTATTCCTAGCTTATCGCAAAAGAGTTCAAATTCTTCTGAGATAAATTCTCCACCATGATCACTTCTAATGCTAGCAACTTTAGATTGTTTTTCATTTTCCAATTTCTTAGTTAGAGACTCAAAATTTTGAAAAGCTTCACTTTTGTTAGCTAGAAACATTAACCAAGTGAAAGGAGAGTAGTCATCTACAATTACAAAAGCATAAGACTTACCTCCATAGCTTACCACATTGGTTGGTCCAAAGAGATCAAGATGGAGTAGTTCAAGTGGTCTCGATGTAGATATTACCGACTTACTCTTGAAGCTAGACCTTGTATGCTTTCCTTTAGCACAAGCATCACAAAAGAATTCCTTTTTGTCCTTTTAACTTAGGCAGACCTTTAACTAGCTCAAGATCACTTAGTTTATGCAGGATTCCTATACTCACATGTCCAAGCTTCCTATGCAATCTATTTGATCATGTTTCTCTAAAGACATTAGACAAGTTATCTTAAAACTTTCTTTATCATCTAGATTTATGACATACAACTTATTTTTACGTCTTCCGGTGAAAAGCACTTTCTTATCAACTAAAGACTCAATGAAGCAACAATCATGTTCAAAAATTATCCTCTTATCTTTACCACACATTTGACTAATAGAAAACAGATTATGCTTAAGACCTTTTACTAGCATCACATTCTTAATGCAAGGATCTGAACCTACTATTCCTCTTCCTATTATATCGGCAGAATTATTGTCACCAAAGAATACCTTACCACATTTACCTTCGTTGAGTGTGATGAACAGATTTCGATTTTCTGTCATGTGGTGTGAGCATCCACTGTCTAGTATCCATTCAGTTGCCTCCATGCTCACTTGGAAGCAAACCCGCGCCATTAGCAGTCATGCAGTTTTTGGTTTTTGTATCCAGACTTTCTTGGATACAGTTTGTTTATGATCTTTAATAGAACAAAATCTACTAATGAAACCGACTTGATGACAAGTAAAACAAGTTCTATATTTTTCATTTAGAATTCTCTTCCTACATACTCGCCTAATGTGCCCAACCTCATGACAATAGAAACATTCCATGTTCCTATATCTTTGTTTTGAAGTTCCATTCCTCTCATGCTTTAATGACTTTTCAAAAATCTTTGACTTGCCTTTACTGCATGAATTTGATCCTAAGTTTTCACAACATCCCTTAGTGGAGTGATTTAGGTAAAAATTGCCTTCCTTTCTTAGAGATTCATTTTTATTTCCTTTTAATGATTCTTGAAGTTTTTACCGTGAGACTCGATTTCTCATTTTCTAAGAGTTCAACTTTCTTATTAGTTTCTTCTAACTCTTCTTTTAATCTGACCACCTCCTTCTTTAGTTCATCATATTCAATGTTTATTTTGGCATAATCAGATTTTAGTTTAGAGTATTTTACTTTAACATTTCCAAACTCTAACTGAATTTCCTTGATAGTGGACACTAATTGATCATCATCACTATAGTAATCACTATCACTAAAGTAAGTCTGGTTGGAAGATTTTACCTCGTTTGGGTTATGTCTTTCTGATAGCTCCTCAACGTCAATAGCCATGTAACTTTCTTCTCTTGTTTCCTCTACATCTTCTTCTTCTTCTTCACTGCAGATCCATGTTGCAGCCATTGCTCGTTCTTTTCTTGCTAGAGGACATTCAGCCTTGATATGCCCAGTTTTCCCACATCTAAAGCATTCGGTAGTGTTTTGAACCTTAACCGGCTGAAGCTGTTCAATCCTGTTTTTGTGGAATGCTCTTGATTGAGAATATTTTGATGTACAACCTTCTTTCTCAACTTCTCTATTCTTGTTAATGAAGTTTCCTCTTCGTTTTTCTCTTCTCACTCGAAGTAGTCTACTAATTTGTTTGCTTAGTAGAGCCAATTCTTCATCATCCATATCATCGAGATCTTCTGTGTCTTCGTTGAATGTGGTAGCCTTTGAAGGCTATCCCCATTTTCCCTTTATCATGATTTCCCTTGTTGAGCTTGTCTTCATGAGTTGCTAATGACCCGATGAGTTCATCTATGGCTGATGTCTCTAGGTCTTTAGCTTCCTCTATTGCAGTTACCTTTGGAGTCCATTGCTCTGGGAGACTCCATAAAATTTTTCTAACAAGATCTCCACTTTCAAATGATTTCCCAAGATTCTCCAGACTGTTCACAATGTTTGTGAAACGCTCGTACATTTGCCGGATCGTTTCTCCTTCTTCCATTTTGAACAATTCGAATTGTTGTTTTAAGGAATTAATTCGAGATGTTTTGACTTGAGAAGTACCTTCGTAAGTACAATGAAGTTTATCCCAGATTTCCTTAGCCGTCTTGCAACCAGCAACTTTGTGATATTCTTCTGGATCGAGAGCACAGTACATAAGATTAGTTGCTTTGCAGTTTTGCTGAAATTTTTCAAAGTCCTCGTCTGTCCATTTTTCTTGATCCTCCTTGAGCTCATATGAACCCTTGATGACTCTAGCCCAGAGTTTTGGATCTGTAGATCCAACAAATAATTCCATGCAATTCTTCCAATACCCATAATTGACTTCTTCAAATCTAGGAGGCGATTTTGAGAGGATCTGTCAGCCAGATAGAGTGGAGCATTATTCTTGGAACCCGACGCCATCTCGATTAACACCGGAGGTCGTTGAACCTTGTTCTACGGTGACCGGGCTCTGATACCATGTGTTGGTTGCGTCGAGCGCGAGACTTTTCACCTGTCTTGGCTACAAATTAAGCTTAATGATAATGATTAGTACAAAGAAAATTTCAAAGCAAATTTAATGATTAATAACAGACCTAACAGCCTTTTGTTTCTTTCACTTTAGACCTAGCTTTATTTCCGTGTAGTGACTTAATGTAACTAGGCTGGGTTGAATGTTAACTTCTGCTGAGACAATTAAACGTAAAGCCCACTTAATAAAACTAACTCTTCACTTGACTGGGCTTCTAAGCCCAATAGCTTTAGTTAAGCAGATGGACTAAGCAAACCCGGAAACCCAGCCCAAGTCGTTTCTTGTCCCAACCCTGCTTCTAAATGACGAACCAAAAACGACAGAGTATTAGCTAAAACCAAAACTTCCTTTCCCGCTCCAGAGACTTCGATCAAAAAGGGACCTGCTTCCTTTTGAATGAAGAACAGTGAAAGAACATCAATAACACGGCAATAAGAACCCAGTCAAAACAATGAACCCTGTTAAGACAAACCCAGCTTCACGAATTCCTCAACTCTGTCCAGGCACGTCGCCTTCCCTGGCTGCTGGTGGAACAAGTTCCCCTGCACAGTCAGAGCACGAACACAGAGGTGCAAACAAAACAAAAACGGAAATGCAGAGTAAGTAGAAAGCCCATGATTTTTACGTGCTTTCCAGTATTGGGAGAAGAAGAATCCCAATACTGACTACTCCACGATCGGAGACTCACTGTTGCGTGATCTCCGACGATTCACTAAAGATATTGCGATGAATTTTGATGTAACACTATCTACCCAAGAACCCTTTGATCAATCTCAACCCGATTGATCAAACACTCACTTCTAAAACCCAGAATTACTTCCCCAACAACTCTTAACAGTGTTTCCCCAACACTAACCCTCAAAGCAATTCTCCCCGAACCCTTTAAGAAACCCCCTTTTCTATCAACCTTGCTACTCTCTCACAAAATCCCCTTTTGTCTTAGCTAGCTTTGTTGATCACTTGAAAATGTTGCTCTTTGCTGGTTCTTCAGGTCGCCTTTTTATAGGTTGACATGTAGCCGTTGGTAATTCAAATTCCTTCCAGTATTAGTGATGATTTGCTTGAGACTCAATCTTCTGATTTGACTTGCACTACTGTACTAAATCTCCTTAATCTGATCTCTCCTCTTATTTTCCTCCTTCTTTCCATGTTTGCTCCTGATCTTCTTTCCTTCTCAAGTGGCCTTTGACTAGCTTGTTCCAACAATGTATTCCTCCTGCTCTTCGTACAGGGATACGCTGCTGCGGGACGGGATACAATAACAACACTGAATGTGTTGTTACAATAACAACAGGGGTAAAAGGGTCACATTCACCCAAAATTAATAAAATAAAAGTTAAATTAATTGACTTTCTCGGCTCATGCACTCTCTTCCTCTCCAACATAAATTGCTCCCAGTCCCAGATCTATATTCCATTACCCGGCGACGGTTGTCTTTCTCCCAGCATGGCGGTGCTCAATTTCCCGCCACTAGATCTGAGGCGAATCGCCAGCGAACTCCGTGCGGCCGCCGATAGGCATAAACGTTAGCTTCTGCCCTAGCATCAACTGCACGAGCCATCGCCCTAGCTTCCGCCTGCATATCCTCAGCTCGACTACCTCCTCCTCCTCCTCCTCCTCCTCCGGCGGCTCCGGCTGAAACGAGGACCAGCCCGCCGTTACCGTTATCCCTTGTCGCAGGTGCTACTCTGACCGGCCTCGATTCCACGATGGCGGCGCGCGGGGTCTTCAGATAAGGCAGCGAAGGTCGCCGGCGCGGCGGTGGCGTCGTCCTGAAGTTAAGGAGCGGCCCCGAAGCTAGGGAGTGGCCGCCGGTGGAAACGAGGCTCATCACCATCGCTGAAGCAGCAGCACTTAGTTAGTCTCCCCTCTCCTCTTCCTTCCGGCGAGAGGATGAAATTGAAACGACGTGGAGAATCCGAGTTGGCGGAATTGATGATTTCCGTCGTCTTGTACTGTTTAACTTCTGGCTCCAACCACGGAATCGTGTCCGTCCGTGCTCCGTTTGTTATAATCCTCACATTGATGATTGCCGGCGTTTTGACCAGAGACAAAGCCGTGGAGGGTTGGAATTGTAAGCGAAGATAAGTTCGGGTAGCATTTGTGAATTTTCCTATGGCGGCTTTTCCATTTTCTACGGGACCGGTGGTTCATTGTTTTTTTTTTTTTTGGTAGAATGGTTCATTGTTTGTTGTCGTGTCGTGTTGGAAGAGGAGTTCCAGTTTGCCAGGTGACATGTCGCGCCACAATTGCTTTCCCAGTAGCACTGACCATTTCTCGAAAATTATTAGTCAATGACTTCCGTCTCAAGCAATTGGATCGGATACTTAACATCTCTAGCTTAGCTTAGCTAATTACGTTGTTAATTGCATCGATAAAACACGGTAAAGCAAACCAAAAACGTTCTAATGCAGACCATAAATATATTAAAACAAACCAGAAACCTCGAAAAAGCAAATCACAAAAGTTTCGAAAGCACACCAGAAACACGATAATGCAAACCACAAACACGATAAAGCAAACCACAAAAACAAACCAGAAACGTCCTAATGCAAACCAAATATCTATTAAAACAACCCAGAAACATCGCAAAGCAAACAACAAATATATTAAAACAAACCAGAAACCTTGCAAAGCAAACCACAAAAGTTTCGAAAGCACACCAGAAACTTTTTAATGCAAACTATAAACCTTCTAATTCAGACCACAAATCCCCTAAAACAAACCACAAACCCCACAATGCAAACCACAACATTTTCGAAAGCACACTAGAAACCTCATAATGCAAACCACAAACACAGTAAATCAAACCACAAAAAAACAAACCATAAACGTCCTAATGCAAACCACAAATATATTAAAACAAACCAAAAACCTCACAATGCAAACCACAAAGTTTTTGAAAGCAAACCAGAAACTTCTCAATGCAAACCACAAACACAATAAAGCAAACCATAAAAGGCATAAAAAAATATGAGAAACCAAACCATAAATCTCACAATGCTAACCATAACATCTGGTGATCGTTGACCATTGACCGGTCAATGAAGATCGTTGATCGGTCAACGAAGTTTGTTGACCGAACTCCGGTGACCGTCAGTGACCGGATTCCGGCGCCGATAAGCATATTCCGGCCCCGATGACTAGATTCCGATGCCGGTAAGCATATTCCGGCGACGGTGAGCATATTCCGATGACAAAATAGCATATTCCGGCGACAAAAAGCATATTCCGGTAACCGGCGACCAGTTTCCGGCGACCGATGGCAGAATTTCGGCGACCGGTGGCAGAATTCCGGCGACCAAATTTTTATGCAGAAAATAAAAAATATTATTTATTTATTTTTTATTTTTTATTTTTTTTATTATTTAAACAGATTTTTCATAATGACAATTATACCCCTACTTTGATTTTACACTAGGTCAACTCATCTAATAAAAAGTCATCACAATCCTAACTTCCTATTGGTTGGAGGCTAGTGTTGTTACAATAACAACACAAGGGGTGTTGTTATAGTATCTAGTCCCCGCTGCTGCTACTTGTTTTTGGGCTTCTTCGTACTAGTACCTTTGTCGTCTCCAGTTCTCTGTATTTGATTTGAGGGTACAATCAAGATGTCATGTGCTTCCAATGTTTCAATTTCCTGAGCTATCGTCCAAACTTTTGTGATCTCTGTTTTGTGTTATGTTTTGGAGTCGTGTCTTCATTTGCTTCCTGTATAATTGTTTTATTACTTGTATAAATAAAATGGAGATCTACACTAAAGAAAACGATAAATCAGTGAGTGAATATATAACCCTTTATCTCGCATGATCCCATAGAACTCGGGATGACTCTTTGTTTTTCCCCCTGTTTCTGTTTAGTCCTTTTGTACTGCTGGGTGGGTTGCGTTGTGTGTATAGCTTCTAGTTTGATGAACGAATGACTTCTTTTTAATTGCTTGGCTATTGCATCCCTTCCATTCAAATTTATATAACCCTTTATGCCATTATTGAAATAGCCTTGGTACTAGCTAACGGAAGTACTAGGATTGCATTAACTAATTATAGCAACCACGCTTATATTTTGCCCCCTATAACATTTTTTTTGCCCCTTATAACATTGAAGCTTTATTATGATAGGAACCATGAGCTCCGGTTATGTTGTGTACTCATCCAAAAGAGCAAGGAAAACACGAGAGCATTGAGCCGAATCAAAGACTTCTGACAGTGATGAGATGCGATCTCAGCCGATAGATGAACTATATGATTCCGATGAGACTCAAAATAAATCAGAAGAACTGCGTGCAGAACACACTTTTGTACCGGAATCAGAGTTTGAATCCCAGGAGGCACCTGAAGGTAGCCATTGTGTTACAATGATTTTATGATTAACTAAATAATAATCTTTGCATTTTTTTGTTGTTGCTATAGTGAAGAAGAAGAGAGGCCAGACAACCTGCAACTATGTTGAGGTGGCAACAAAGAAGGGAAACAAAATCGAGGTGCATGTTTCTAGTGATGGTAATGAGGCTATTGGTAAGAACGCACACAAATTTGTTAATTTTTGTGGACTAATAGTAAGAAGCAACGCGAAGTTGAGTGTTGAAACATGGAATAAGATGGACGAAGCTGAAATTGAAAAATTATTTGAATTGGTGGAGGTAAATTTATCCTTTAAGTTTTTCATATATGTGTTCACAAACTCCCTACGGTATATGAATTGTTTGGTTTTTGTATGGAGGAGAAATTCACTAGTAGTGATAAACAAGAACTTAGAGATCTTATGTGGATTAAAATGAACTCAGCTCATTCGTCTTGGCAGTACCGCGAGCGTAAAAACTTCCTTGGTCTTTCCGATAACGAAAGGGATAGTTATGTTCCTGAAGGTGTTGATGCTGAGGATTGGATGCAAGCTGTTCAATATTGGACTTCTGATGACTTACAAAGTAATTATCGATTTTATATGAGATGCTACAAACTTATTTTAATCTTTGATTATTATTGACATATTGAAAATTAGAAAATGAGTAAGAGAAATAAGCAAAACAGAGGAAAGGTTGAAGGGAAGAATACTTATGGGTCAAGAACATATGGTGAAGTGGCGGAAAATACGGTAAAGAGTTTCCTACCTTATGTTTCATAATTAATACTCTAATTATTATCTTTTCCCATTTCGCCTATATAAATCGTATTCTCAACTTGTAAATTTAATTACTCTACTTCAAATTTCAGAGAGATCCGTTAACTGGAATAATGAATTCTCATGATGAGATCTATTTTGCTCAACATACGAGGCAAAACAATGGAGAAATATCATGGCCCGATCCTAGATAAAAAATAATATACGTAAGTCAACCACTTATATAAATTCCTTTAACCGTCTTATCAAATTTTATCAGTTCAAATTATATTTGATGTCTCTATTAGTATGTGGTAATTTATTTTGAAGCTACTAATACATTCTTCGTTTTACAGGGTAAAATAAAAGAGTTGGTTGAAGCTGGATCTAAGTTGACGTATAAAGAGATGATTTGTCTTGCCTCGGGAAAGCCTCTCGCTCAGAGTAGTAGGAGGTTCAGAAGAAGAGCAAAAAATAAGTCTATATTGAGGGCAGAGATAGAAGCAGAGGTGCAACAACAGTATAATGCTAAGTTAGCTGAAGAAAAGAAGAAGTTTGAGAAGAAAATAGCTCGTCTACAAGCAAAAAAATCATGAGGAATTAATGAGAGAAATGAGATCGACATGAGAGACAATTTTCTTTTCAATATAAACAATAGCCCATTGGTACATTTTTCTACTATATTTAGTTTATATCATTATTGGGATTGGACCTAAAGATATTTATTTTCAATATAAGATATGAATTGGTTTTTATTATTAACAAAATCTTGTTACAATTAGGTATTTGTGACTAGCAATTTGTCACAAAATCATTACAATTATGACAAAAACAAGTCATAGTTATTATCACTAAATGTGATATATGTGACAACTTTGATAAAAAAAAATGTATTTATGTCGAGTCAAATCGTTACCATTGTTGTATTTTCTGATGACAATATTTGCCATATAAATCATTTTTGGTGACATGTCAAATTTACACTAATGTATAATATTTGCTACAGTGTACAATCGTCACAAAAATTGTTATATGTGACACAAAATGTATGTCACTAAAATATTATTTCGAGTTTAATTTTGTTACCGAAAAATATAATTGTGACAACACGGTTTTCACTAACTATACAAATTTATGATGGCTAAAGTTCTTACTATTGATTATATTTGTGACGACAATATGTCTTACATAAAATGGTTTTGATCATGTATCAGATTGTCACTAATGTATACTTCTCTTACGACACACCACAAATGCTATCAGAAGTGACAAAACCATTCATCATAAAAGTATGTTTTCGTGACAAATTTTATTTCTTGTCACTAATGTTGTCGCAGCCGTAGCATAAACTATGTCACAAAATCCAACTTTTGCGACAATAAAATTGTCACAAAAACCTCCTTTTGTGATAAATATGTATACCAAAAGGCGCACCATTTGTGACAACTAGAAATTGTTACGAGTGGAAAACATCTGGTGACAATACAAACTCGTTACAAATGCAAAGTATTTGTTACACTTAGAAGGTTGTCACAATTGAGCACATCTTATGTGACGAAAAACCTGGTCACGATAAAGCTCATACATGTTAGGTATACATTTCAAAAGGTGTTACGTAAACTTTTTGAAGTGTTGCCTATAATTGTGTCGCATATGTAAAATAGTGTTGCATATAGAGTATACTTATGCGGCACATTTTTGTTGTTGCGAAAAGTGCCAAAAGTGTTATCTTTATACAACACTTTCAGCACCTTTTGCAACACATTTCAAGTGTTGCCAAAGGCCACTTTTCCCATAGTGCTCGTTACTATCGCCGTCTAGAGGCCAATAATCCAAGGATGGTCCTTAGAGGATAGAACCTATCTTCAGAAACGATGAAGAAGCTGTATGGGGTGGAGATGGCGGGCAGATAGAGTCGCGTTTTCGCCCAAGGAGGGCGGCAGAAGGCATTTCGATTGCAACATGCTTTTTGCTTAATTTTTTGTTGTTTTTCCTAAACCGATTTAATTTTGAATTGGAAAAATGATATTCTGATTAATGAGTGGCATATATGTGGTAGTCATGTATTTGCCATAATTATCATACGATGAGCTTAAATTAAAATATTAAATAAAGTAAGACACATACAACATTTTTTCTTATACATCCAATGTTGTAGTAATATTAGCCCAAAACTAACTATACAGTTTTATTACACTTTGCATTCTTTTCATGCATGGTTTAAGCTTTGCTAGAAGGAATGAGATACCTTGCTAACCCTCTAAGGGGTTAGCATGGTGCCAACTACTTCCATCATCGTTCCCTTCTCTTCGGTATAATTAGGGGTGTCCAATCGGGTTCGGGTTCTCGGGTTAAACCGAAACCGAACCGGTAAGATGACATTCGGTTTTTGGGTTTTCGGTTTTGACCAAAAGTGCTATATATCGGTTTTGGTTTTGATGTAACCCGGAAACCAATTAAAACCCGCAAACCCGAAAACTGTGATGGTGGAGTATTGGTTTCTTTCGGAATTTTAGTGAGAACGAATGGGCTTTAAGTGAGAGTTGGCCCAACAAAGGCAAGCAATAGACAAATGCAACTGAATTGGGTTTATTAAGATGTTCAAGCCCAACTCATTTCCAGAACCAATTTCAAACAGAGTACTCCCTTCGTCATTCTGTATGCAGCCAACAAGAAACAGAGCAAAACCCAGAAACAGAGTAATAAAAGGAAACGAATTACGAATGATGAAAAGGAAATACAGCCACTAGACAGGCACTATAAACCTTCCTTAAAACCAGCTTGTTACCGTAAGTGGTATTCAATCAAATTCCTTTGATCTTTTTCAATACTTAGTTCTTACCTTTTGGAGCAGAAAACAGAGTACTCTAACAATAGAAGTTCTTGCTAGTTCTCGTGGTAAGAACGAGCCTTTATGGAAAATGAGTAGTGGGTTGATTAGTTTTCCGGTTCTTAATAAGGAAAAGTCTAGGATTCAGAGTATTTATTACATTGTTGATAGATATAAGAATTAAAACTAATGCGAGATTTGGGATTTCATTTCACCAATGGCAGCCATTAGTGAAGGGAGCTAATTTTTTGGGTAATTAATTTTCTTCTGTGTGTGTACTAAGTTGAAAGGAAATAAACGGTTACCTTTTTTGGGTGTGAAGATTGAAGAGTGAAGAATAAGGAAATTACAGGCTCGTTTATGGTAATAAGAAGGTAAGCTTTCCGGGTTCCTTTAATTACACAAAATTCTGGGTTTTCGGGTTCCATTATAGCAAAACTGCAACCATTAGTTGAAGTTTCGGGTTCAGGTACCCGAAACTGGTATTTGTCGGTTTCGGTTCGGATTTTTAGTAAACGGGTGCCGGGTTTTCGGTTTCCTTTGAATTTTGGGTTTGGTTAACCGACCCGAACCGACCCGACAGCCCTAGGTATAATCCAATGGCTATTATTTATGTGAGACTTTTTTGGTATTTTTGGTAGTTATTATGACGCCAAAGACTGATAATTAATAGGAAATCGGTGTTGGTGGGATTAGAGAAATCAGAACCAGATCTCATCCGCCTTTTCCCTTTCTTCCGTTTCTTTTCCATCTTCCTAAAAATAACCACTATTACGAACAAAATCTTCTCCACCATGTTAGCTTCTGCAACTTGGAGCAAATGAAGGAAGCTAGATGCCTAGACCTACGACAAACAGACAATTTGGAGGAGGAACAAGGAAACACCACACCAGCGATGATACAGGAGTTGGTGATACAATGAAATCAAGCGGCGACCTGAACCCTTCTGCTCCGTCGCGGAATCCCACCTGCAAAATCTGCAGATCTCTTTCACCAACCATATTCCGGGGTAACTCCTTTTTCATTACCTCCTTTGGCTCTCCGAATTCCCCATGTTTTTGCATGCCCAATACTTTATGCTTTGCTTTGTTGTGATTTGATTTTTCTATTTCACATACACTTTGTGCAGATCTAATAGGTCGTCATCATGATATCCAAGTTCATCTTTACCAAATGATCTATGCCGAGACAATATCGGATTTCAAAACCTAGTCGAGAATTTGGTTAGAGGAAATCCTTGCGCCGTTGGCGACATAAATTCGATGACAAGTCATGTTGTTTGTGGTGAAAGTGGTAGCGGAGGGAATTGTTGATACCAACACTAGTAGTGGTTTACCTAACCAGTAGTGTTTTACAGTATATTAACGGGTTGTTTGGATTGAGTATTTGACAAACTTGTTATTTGGGACCAATTGCCACACAAATAGTACATAATATAAAATTGGGTTAAAGACACATTTGGTCACTGAGATTACAAAATTGGGACATGTTTAGTCACTAGAAAAAATTAATATCAAATTTGGTCACTACAATTACTAAAACTGGACACATTTAGTCACTCGCCGTTAGTCTCCGTCCAACTCCGTTAATAAAGTCTGTTAAGTGATGATGTGGCAAACAGAATTGCCTACTCAGCCGGATATAACCCAACAAAAATAAAACCCGACCCGCCACGTCATTAAAACCAACCCAACCCAACCCATGACCCAACCCCACCCAACCCTTCTTCCTCCTTCCTCTCACCTCCTTCTTTCCCGAAAACCACCGCCGCCGCCGCTCTCCTCCTTTCTCCCACCTCCTCCCGCAAACCTGTTCAAGCACCAAACAGAACTGGACCCCTGTGGGTGATTCAACCCTGTGGCGACTCTCGCATTCAGGGGCTGCAACTGTGACCGCAGTGGCCACACTTCCTCTTCCTACGATGAACGCAAAAATCAGAAACTAATGTTGCGGAAAAAAAAGAACGGAAATTGCTGGAAGGGTACACTGTGCCGTGATTGCGGTTGAGCCAGGGATTGCATTGCAGGTATCCGCGAGAGAGAAGAGGAGGTTTTCCAATTTACTCCCCCTATTATTTCCTTTTGGTGGGATTGATTGATTATGGTAACAAGGGGAAAAGGCAGGTAAATGAGGTCATTTCTACTGTTGTCCATCATTCCATCAAGCATATTGATAATGGGTAGAGTTGACCCAGAAGAGCATTGTGGGTGATCAATTCGAGAAATGGTCGAGATAGGAATGAGGAAGTTGGACAAAGGGTTATTAAAGGGTAGTGAAAATGATTAAGAGGCAGGTGCAGATAGTCTTGGATTCGAGTTCTGGAAGTCATTTGTTGTTTTTTTTTTGTCCATAGGTTTGCGGGAGGAGGTGGGAGGAAGGAGGAGAGCGGCGGCGGCAATTTTGGGGAAAGAAGGAGGTGAGAGGAAGGAGGAAGAAGGGTTGGGTGGGGTTGGGTTGGTTTTAATGACGTGGCGGGTTATAATGACGTGGCGGGTCGGGTTTTATTTTTGTTGGGTTATATCCGGCTGATTAGGCAATTCTGTTTGCCACATCATCACTTAACGGACTTCATTAACGGAGTTGGACGGAGACTAACGGCGAGTGACTAAATGTGTCCAGTTTTAGTAATTATAGTGACCAAATTTGATATTAATTTTTTCTAGTGACTAAACATGTCCCGATTTTGTAATCTCAGTGACCAAATGTGTCTTTAACCCATATAAAATTTGTTATTTAGTATGTGATATTTGGTCTCAAACCTGTTATTTGACAAATTCCTGCCTCTTCCAAGTATTTGGCAAACAAAACTTTTTGTGTTATTTGGTCTCAAAGTCGTTATTTGGCAAAACACCACATCCAAATAACACATCCAATTTTTTGTCAGCCAAACATATTATTTGGGGTCAAATAACACCACCAAATACTCAATCCAAACAACCCCTAAGAGTTTATGTTCTTGCTTTCAGCTTTCATCCTTTGATATTAGTAATTCTTCCATAGTAGTTTTATGTTCTTGCTTTCAGCTTTTATCCTTTGATATTAGTAATTCTTCCATAGTAGTTTTCTCCCTTTTCTTATTTATGTTGTAGTGGGATTAACTCTATGCAATATATGTTATGCAATATATGTTTATGTGTAGCGGACTAGCGGTAACTTCACTACTACAATTATAAAATACTACTAGGATCATGATTTACAACTATCAATATTGGAACGATACTCTATGAGAAATTTTACAATGCTATATAGTATTGGTGCTATAGAGTTATGCCTTTATGGTACAACTTAAAATTGTATATTTACGTTATGGTACAACTTCATATTGTACTTATACTTTTTGTACAGATTCTTTTATGGTACAACTTGAACTTGTACCTTTATGTGATGGTACAACTTCAAGTTGTAAAGTTGTACCATAACATAATGGTACAAATTGCTTTATTGTACAACCTAAACTTATACATTTAATGTTATGGTACAACTTTAAGTTGTACATTAAAGCACCAATGCTGTATAGCATAGTAGAAGTGCTCCACTTCTAATTGGAAACACTATTACTATCTCTGTTAAATCTGCTCATATTTTTTCCCGGTAATTAATCCATTCATATTTTAAAATTTTCCTCTTAATTCCTTATTATATTCTAGATAGCATGGTGCAAGGGATGGCAATGGGTCGGGGACTGATAGTGCATATCCGTTACTCTAACCAAAGTAGTTCGGGTTTTACCCATGCTCATACCCACATAAGAAATGGGTAGAAAATCCAAACCATGCCCATACCCGTTCGGGTTTCGGGTATCCACGGTTATCCATGGGTAATAGTTTTTCTTTATAACTCCGACCAATATGTTAATATTTACACGTATTCTCACGTTACAAAAGACGAAAAGTAAGACAATAATTCACTAGAATGAAGAAAATTAATTAAAACAACACAATTTCATAAGAAAATTATATTTATATGCTAAATATAAAAATTTTAGAGAAAAAATTGATGATTTCTAGACAAAATACATATGCATGTGTATAATCGGGCGGGTTCGGGTTGGAAAGTGAGAAAACCATGCTCACCCATTACCTGCAATATTCGGGTTCGGATTTTACCCGTAACCACTAAAAATCCTTCAGGTTCGAGTTTTACCCTTTCCAATTGGGTCGAATTCGGGCAGATATCCACGATTACGGATATTTTTGCCATCGCTACTTGGTGCTAACCCCACACGGAGTTAGCAATTTAGCACCCTATCTTCTTCCTTTGTAGAATTGTTTTAACTTTTAAATAACCGAGTAGGAAACGGACAAACGCCAGCTTCGAATAAAAGAATGACAACTAGTATCCCCGATTTCTCCAAGTCAGAGATTGAAGACTGAAAAAAACACTTTCTGATAACCCTAATAATGACCGAGTGAGTCCCGCCGCTGCGAAAAACATCACCACCGACGTGCTTCCAATGAAGAAGCAGAGGAAATTTGCCGGACATCCGGCAATAATATCAGCCACCAGCGAAGATCGAATCTCGGACTTACCGGACGATGTCCTCCACCTCATCCTCCGCCGTATGAACTCCCCCACACAAGCTGGAAAGACTATGGCTCTCTCCCGGCGATGGCGAAGCCTCTGGCGCTCCTACCCTGTCCTGGAGTTCGATGAGGCCGATTGTCACAGTCGCCGCGGCTGGAAAATCTGTCCTGCCGCCGCCGTCGCAACCGATTATCTCCACAAATTCACGGCTGCCTCCATCGAGCGATTCTCTGGAAACCAATTGCCGATTGAAGCTTTCAAAGTCTCACTGGCAAGGGAAGATGTCAGGATCAAAAGGCGCCGCGCTGTGATTCTCGAGCAGCTGCTGAGCTTGGCGTTGGAGAGGGAGAGGAAACCGGGAGAGATCACCATGGATATAACCGGTTACCGTCTGCCCTGCCGCAAAGGAATCCTGACATCCGGCCTCAAGATTCTCCGGCTGACCGGAATCAAGTTTGGATCCGACTGGCGCTGCGATGATCTGCCTCCCCTGAATTCTCTCCGGCTCCTCCGTCTGAAGTATGTCAAGTTCAATCACGAGAATCTTCTCGCAAACTTGATAGCTCGGGCTCCTTTCCTCGAAACCCTAGAATACCGAGGGTCTGCGGCGGGATCGACGAAGCTCCAGGTGATTTCCAAACTTCCCACCAACCTTAATTCCCTGCGATTCCTCTGTTTGGAAAATGTGGCAATCGAGAACAATGACCAGCTCTTCACCAATTTGATATCCAGCTCTCCCCTCCTCGAAACTCTCGAGCTCAGAGAGATTTCCAAATTGAGGAAGCTCCGCGTAATCTCCAGGCTGAACAACCTGAAGACGATTAAGATAGGTTACCCACTCGATGCGGAGCGAATCGAGATCGATGCTCCTGGACTCGAGACTCTGCATCTCCAGCCTCTCTATCACGAGGTGATGGAGATCAAGGTCACAGCTCCCGAGTTGAGACATTTAGAACTGGGAGGTTCTGGTTTCACAGAGCGTAATGTTTGCGAATTGCTGTCTAATCTCTGCGGAGGATCATCTTTGAAGTCCCTCACTCTGCTGGGGCTCGATCGGGTCGAGAAGCTGAATTTCTTGAGCCCCGAGCTCGAGGAGTTCAAGCTGTTCATGTGGGCGAACTCGAAGCTGAGGGAGATCCAGCTTGATGCCGGGCCACGCCTGGCGAAATTCTTCGTGGGTTGTCGAAACGTCCTTCCTGATGGCAAATTGGAGAAATGTGGGATCAGTAGCGACGCCACGGCCTGTAGATTGGAAGTTGATTTCGGGCATGTTAGATTCGATTCGTCACGGTTGTTTGGTGGATTAAGGAGAGTCATTGCAGGATTCAGCCAGCTCCATACTGTTAGCATTAGCTTCCTCTACTCTCCTGAGTATTCATCGGATTCGGATAAATTAGATCGCAGTTTGCAACCGGTTGCTATCTTGCATTTGAAGGTTGGGATAGACATGGTGTCAAGCTGTGACAGAAGAACCATTTTGGATGGTTTGTTTTGGGCCTGTCGGCCTAGGTTCTTGACAGTGGTTCCTAGAACTTCCGGACTGAAACTGATATTCAAGTTCCTCTTGAGTCTCATGTCAAAGTATTTGTCCGAGCATTGTGCAGGCGAGGGGGGCGATCGGGAAGGAGAGTTCGAGGAGAAACAACATTCGCTACATCGATTGAAAGACGTGAAGATCGTGACTGGAGATGTCGATAGACCGAATGAGATGAAAGAAGAAGAGCTGGTGAATGTTTCAAAGGATGTGGATGCGTTGCTTGTGATGCAAAGACAGGTTAGTTTTAAGTTAACTTGGCACGAGTAAGTTTGTAGAAGATGTGATTGGGCGTACAAGACTTATTTTAGAGTCCGACTAGCAGAGTCCCAAGCTGATATTCAATCTCTAGCTTCAGAGTTGACATGGTTCATTAGAGTTGGGGTAGAGAGGTCTTCCCTTGGAAAAGATTCTTCATTTTTTGTATTTTCATATGTACCAAACAATGAGAGCGAAGAAGCAAACCCAATCTCTTGTCCAGTTAATCTCCAAGTTGATACGTAGCCTATTGTCGTAGTCTGTCGCAAAGAAAGCACCCTCCATTTGTTCTTCGCACCGGCACAGTCTCTTATGCAATGTAGGTTGGTCTCTACACCCTCCTTGCATTGTGGGCTTTGAGGGCGGCCAATGGAGAAGCCGGTGCGGTGGTGATCTCCGCCACAATTGACAATATCTGCCTGCTACGGCTTCAACTTTGCACGTGAGTCTTAGGAGCTGTTTGAGGTTTCGTACCACCCGTTAGGAGTGTAAGTTTCACCCTTAAAACCCACCGACCCGCCCCGATCCTCAGGGTCGAGCTGGGTCAGTTTGTCTATAGGGTCAATTTAGGGTCGGCTTAGGGTCGGGTCATGGTCAGATAGGGTCGGATCAAGTTAGGGTCGGGTCACTTTTTTACTCTATGACCCTTAGCATCATACAAACATGTTGGACCTATTTGTAAAATTTTATAAGTTTAGGTACTAAATTGTAAAAATTAAAAAATTTGGGTACCAAAACGTAATTTTACCATCAAATTTTAGGGACTTATTTGTAAAAAAATAAAATTTAGGTACTAAAATGTAAGAAAAAATAAATTCGGGTACCAAATTGTAATTTTTAGAAAAGTAGTCTATTTATTAGGGTCGACCCTTCCTGACCCACCCCGACCCTAAAGGGTCAGACAGGGTCATGAAAGAAACAGGGTCGGGGCGGGTCAGTTATACATCTTGACCCTTCAGAGGCGGGTCAGATAGGGTCAGGACAGGGTTAGGGGCGGGTCGCGCCAATTTTCAGCCCTACCACCTGTCTCTCTTGGATTGAGTGCACCGGATTTTGAGTTATGCAATCCATAGAACCCGACTCAATCTATGTTCCAATTATTATCATAAGCAAGGTTGTCAAACCGGTTAATACCGTTGCGCAGGTTTAGCAAGTGAAATTGTATGACCGGTGACATAACCGATATGCGCCAGTTCATGCCTGTTAACAAAATATGTAAAAATGAGAAAATCGTTAATATTCAATGTATTTAATCATATATATATATAACATTTCACCTTTTAAATAACATAAACTTTTACCCTTTACTTACAATCCAACAAATAACATCAACTTTTATCCTTTAAATTCATGAAATTAATAAATAAATGAATTTTTATTAATTCAATCCACTAAAATGAGGTCATTTTGTTTAGAATTCGTAAGTCGATCATGTTGTTCATACCGGTAGTGTCATATCAATTTCATGATTGGTACAGGTTGAACTAGAGCTGACAAATCGGTTATCGGTTGCCGGTTAAGCATCGGTTAAAACCGATAATAGGCGGTTATCAAATAACCGACGGCGAACGAGAGGGCTTGGCTAGCCGAGTAACCGACGGTGAAAACCATTGGTTACCCGACTAACCGAGCCCTCTCCCTAACATCCCAAAACGACCTCGCACCACCACCAAGGTGAACCCTAACCACCTCCATCTCCCGTCTTCTCAATCACTCCCCAGTCCCCTCCGCCGCCTAATCCACCACCCGTAGTCTCCTACCAGACAGAAGACTAAAAACCCAATCGATTCTCCCGCTTCGCAATCGCTTCCCCTGCTGCCCAATGTCGTCGGTAACGCGTCCGGCCTCCGTCGACCTCGCCTTCAACCCTAGGCCCCAACTCGACATGCGCAACCTCCCCTCCCGCGACCACACCACTCCTCCGTGATCGTCACCTCCTCTGCGACTTCGCGGGCCCCCACGACGTCGCCGCCACTGTGTGACCTCGCTGACCCTATGACCTCGCTGTCTCCCTGCGACCACGCCACTCCCCCGCGCTTCTTCGTTGTCCAGTCGCTTTCCTTCCTCTTCCCCAATCGAATAGAGACAGAAGAACCAATCGCCTTACTTCCTTGTCTCGTCGCCTTCTTTCTTCGCAGTTCGTCACCATCCTGTAACCTTCCTTCCTTTGCCACGTCACGTCGAGGCGTCGAGCAGCTACGAGGCTCCAACATCGGCAGACAGGGCAGATCGGCAAAGACAGAGCATGCTCCGCCTTCGTCGCCACTCGTCACAACCATGTCGATCGCTAACAACGCCATCATTTTTTGGTTTCGCGAATAAGCGAACCAAAACCGAATACCGCTTGGTCGGTTGGCAGGATAACTAGACGTCTCCTTCGGTCGGTTTTCGGAGGAAATTTGGGCGTGTTTCGGCTAACCGATAATCGAGGTTTCGGTTTTCGGTTAGACCAAAATTGACTGATATCCACCCCTAGGTTGAACCTAGTTCAACTGGTCGCCATGCAACCGACATGACAACCATGATCATAAGTGTTCATTTCCAATAATATATTTGTGTCGTATATGCTTGCATGTTTGTGAGAACATTAAGATATTTTGTCATATTTTTTTTCTTGTGGTCTTTCTAACCTAATGTATTTTTCGACTTGAAATTTAGACGTGTCATAATATAGGCTATACTTCACATAATATTTTTGTTCCAATTTTAGAAGAATGACATACTATGTGAAAAAACTAGGCATATGACAAAGCAAATTGCATTTTTTAAAATCCAAATAACATCTACGCATTTTGATACTTTTCACCTTGGTTTATTTGTTTGAAATTTTAGTTTGTTATATTTTGCCTTTGTAAAATATTTGTGTTTTTTGTGTTTGGTTGGGTTTTTACTTAAAAGTGTCATCAATCCAACCCAACTATAAGCAAATCGTAATATCCTTATTTTTTTCGAGTGGGGTTTGGATTTAGTATGTCCAAAACCATAGTATATGAATCAGGTGATTAAAATGACTAAAATTGAACCACCCGACCCATGTACAACCTTATCTCCTACTTGTGGACTGTGGGTGCTTCACCATGAACCAATAAATAATATAATTTATAAGAAAACAAATAAGGCAAAATAAAAGGGACATTTTGAAGTTTTTCCCCGTACATTCCCCGGGTTTTTTTAAACGAATTTCTGGTAATTTGAAAAGGAAGAGAAATTTTATACAGGAAGCAAAAATTTTGACATCTAATTAATGATTAGTGTTGATATACTGATATATATGCATAATGCATCCCGAACAGAAGGAAGGAATATGCATCTGAATTTTATCTTTGTTTTCATATTGTATTTGAGAATTCTGTTGTCATTATTGCAACCCCCACCACAACAATTTCGCTATTGTGCATATGGATTAATCCATGTGCATCTGCACAACCCACCCCCATTGGGCTATGTTAGTATGGGCAGGGATTGGGGAGCTCCCATTGGCTAGATGCAAAAATGGGTCTGGTTCGGGTTGAGAGGTCGTAGATGGAGCTGGCTCTTGGCATCAGCCCCTTGGCTTAGGGGTTTTTGGGGTTCGCCAGGTGAGGGAAGAAGGTTTGGGTGGAGTCGGATTGTGAGAGAAAAGGTTTAGGGGTGTATTTTGGCGGGATTTTGGGAGGGGAGAGAGAATAAAAATTCCCCCCTGTTAATATGCTCACCTACCAGCTTCTCTCTCTCATGCCTTTCTCTCCTCTTTATTTTTTCATCCGCCATTGAAGAGAAGAAGAAATTCCAGATCTTAGGTTTGATATCGGAGCTACCATGGATGTTCCACTGGAGGTGGATCTTGGAACCCAGAAAGAGGATGTTGGCAAGAATTTTTACAATGATGATGTCGAGGATACTTCCGATGATGATGCTGAGGATGTAGCTGATATCGTCCTCAATACACATGTTCAGAATACATGTGACGGATTGTGGGGCCCGCAAGAGTGGAAGGCTGTCGTTGAAGAACTAGAAGGGGGTATGTTGAAGAACAAAAAAAGAATCATTTTGATGTTGCTTCTTCTTTATATATGTTTTGGTTGGTGAAGCATTGAATGCTTCCGTATGGTTAGATTTAAGGGTTTTGCATTTATTTCATTTGTTCTTCACAACTTATGGGTTCTCAGTACTTATGGGTTCTCATTACGTTGAATATTTGTTCGTCTGTTTTTAATACTACTTAAGTATTTCATAAGTACGTTCAGGCATGTATCTTTCCTAAGTGTATGAATATGTTCTGAAACATGCGTGCATGAATACGTTCTGAAACATGAACAAAACCATTTGGGTGTGAGTGCATGAATACTTGTTCGACCCAAAATGAGTGTTACTTGGCAAGGCCAATAATATTGATTGACATTTGTGTGAATATTATAACGCATGTTTAAGAATATTTGTTGTTTATTGAGTGAATGTTGGTTGTGAGGACATGAGTTTCTAAATGTGTTTAAATTCAGTGGCAGCCTATGCACAACAATGGCAAGCAGTATGTACTGCTTAGCTGCCAGCGAAGCAGGAGGCCTCCCATTCCCATTCTGATTTTTCAAAGTTGCTGTCATGACAACAATACCGAAGTTTTGACATCTGTTTCCCTTCAATTTAATCTCATCGTAGAAAGTACTCAGCTTGCATTTGTCCATACACTTTTGCTTCACTACTTCCAACTCGCCTCTGGGAAGCCAGTAGACACGGGCCACGTCCTCATCCTCCAAGGTCATCACCTTCTGGTTTTCTCCCACTCCGTGTTTAATCATTACCAACATCAGTTGCTTATCACAGTTGGTCATTCGAATCTCCAACAGTCCTTCGAATCCCGCCTTCTGCAGCTTCTATCGACATTCCTCATAGTAACTCTTATCCTCCTTCCAGAATTTGACAACACCGAACAACGCTGATGTTTGACAGCGATGTTGCATCTCAAGTGGTTTGTCGCCCTTAACTTTCTCGTCCATAACTTTCTTGCCCTTAGGATTGTCGCCCACTACTTGATGCCCTTATCCTTAACTGTATCTTCAGAGGGAGAATCTTTGGTATCAAGAGAAGCATCAAAATCAGGAGAAAAAGCTTCAGAAGTAGTAGATAAAGTTTCAGCAGAAAGACCAGCTTTAGCAGGTTCTAGAGTCTTTCGTTTCCGACTAGCTAGTTTCTTTGTACGAACCATCATGTAAAACCTGTCAAAAAAACATTCTAAACTTGTTAACAAACATTCTAAGCAGTCAATTGAACATTCTAAACTTGTCAAACAAACATTATAGACTCGTCGAACATACATTCTACACCTGACAGACATACATTATAAACAGGACAACAAATATTATAAACCAGTCAACAAAAATTCATAACCACACTCTTGAACATTCTAAACCTGTCCAACAGATATTCTTAACCCCAAAAACAATTCTCAGACAACCAATATGAAAGGATGGACATAAACCATTACATTCACAATATAACACAGGAACAATTAAATTCATAATAGAACACAAAAATAATTACATTCAATGATATCTAGGGATAAGAAGCAACAAGCCATCCCCCACACTCAAGCAAACATCACCAAAGGCAACCGAACAATACCCACAGTGAACCAAACACAACTGCTTTTCAGTTTCTGTGCTCATACAAAAAAAACCCAAGTCATATTGTTGGAACCCTAACACCACACAAGAATGCAAATACTAAAATCGAAGGGCGAAACCGATACCTTAAAGCGAGAGTGGCTGGGAGATTCTTCCTCCGAGGTAGTAGATCATTCTTCGACTGAGATGGAAGCACTATTACTCGATAAGAGGAAGTATACTTCTTCTTCGTCGCCTGGTTGTTGTCTTCTTCGTCGGAGGAGGAGAAGAAGGGTCGTCTTCGTTCTTTCACCGCTGTTATGGCCTTTTTCGTCGCGGAGGAAAAGTAGAGAGGAATGGCCTCTTTTTTTTTTACCCGATGTCTGGTCTGGGTCGAGGGAGGGGAGGAGAAGAGAGAAAAGAGAAAAGAGAGAGACGGTTGACGGGAAAATTTTCAGTTCTATTTATTTTTTCATTTTTTTAATTCAAATTATGGGCCAACTTCTGGTCTGGGTTGACGGGGGAGGACTGGGCTTATGCGGCTCCAAAATCCAGCTCCTCTCTCGTGCAAACTACTTCTCCGCACCGGGCTCTCCTTGCCAATCATTTCCTAGCCGGCCGACATGGCCCAATGAGGGTGGGTTGTGCAGGTGCATGGATTAATCTATATGCACAATAACGAAATTGCCACAACAAGACATGAATTACAGTGTTAAATCGAGCACCTACCTACTATGAATGAAGCCGTGAAGGCCTTGTACATCGGGATCACAATGACACATTAAGGATATCGGATTGTGTGAGAGAACGAGCTATTTCGGCACCCGTGATTATTCGTAACAACTGATTGATCGATCGAAAGTTAAATTTCACTTGATTTGAGCTCAGTTCCAGTTGAAGTTAAGGTTCGAAACCAAACCTGAGCTCAAGGTTTTGGTTCAATGTCCTTTGCAAAAGCCAATATAATATTTACTGCTATTTTCAATTGGGGACCAAATAGCAACATCAAATATGACAGCAAGTCTAACTAGAGTACATATATGAAGAGAGACTATCTGTACAGTGTTACAGACTCGTCCAAAGAAAGAAAAGAATGCTCCATTAAAGCTGTTACGTGACAACCTTCTCTGTCCAAATTGACCATCAAGAAAGTAGGTATAGATCATTGCCACTTTTCCACTCCATTTTTCCTTTCAATCCTAAACCGTTTTGTTTTCCTTTCGTCTCCCATGATTGCAAAATCTCTTCATATATGGTCTATGTTTGAGCCAGCTTTTAGAAGTGCTTTTTGGATTCAAAAGCTGCGGCAGAACTAAATACCTCTAAAATTGCTGAACAAGCTAAGCAAAATTCAGATTTGTGCACTCCCCCACCGAACACTCATCGTATGGAACTTCAAGTCGGCTGCAAACCACCAAGAGAAGGTTCTGCTGCAGTAGGTGGAGTGGTGGACTGATAAGAGACATACTTGGAAAATGTTTGGATGCCTTCTCATGCAACCTGGGTGTCTGCTCTATCACTAGTGCAGAGCTCAAGGGTGCGGCTGTTGGCTCATAGAGCTTGGTAGCTCGGATTGAGAGTTCTGGTGTTAAATCTTCACTCTCAAACAATCATTAACATCATCATGAATTGGCAGGATGATGATCACCAACACTGTTTGATTACCAGCAAGATCGTACAACTGCTTACTCATCACTAGGAGGTGGTTGTGTAGCATGTTTTTAGAGAATGTAACTACTCTGTTGATTTTTTGGGTACTAAGGGCCACTATCTTCCTTTTGGCACCCATTATTTTGATGTGTGCGACCCTCACCTTTACCACTGGTTATTGTATGACGTTATGGGTAATATCATGACCCATTCTATTAATATGATGATTTAGGACGCTTTCGTTTTGCTTTCTTAAAAAAGGAAATTTGAAATGGAGAAGCTTTTATTGGGAACTCTTTATTATATTCTTTAGATTTGATTAATAATAAACCTTTTTTCAAATTATTGATTTGGCTTTATTTTGAGTGGTCATGTAAGATAATGATATAATTAAGATCCATATTTAATTATCTCCCAACAACTCGAGTTATTATGACTAATTAATTTATGATAGTGAGTAGTTGATTCAGGAATATGTAGGTTAGCGCGGTTACTTAAGTTTTAGTAATCACGGTAGCTACCAAAATCTACACCCTTCATTATCTCGATTCACCCTATTTTTAAATTAACGGCGAAGATTATATTAAGGTAATTTTGAAAGTGAGAAAATATTACACCTAATTACTCTATATATTATACTCAAACTCTAACCCTATTGCAACTCATCTCCCTAACCGTCTTACCTCTTCCCACCCCGGCTTCCTCCCTCCTCCTACCACCACCCACACTCCAACCCTCCTCCGCTACCTCCCGCCGCCACACCATACTACCCTCATCGTCCTCTCTCTCTCTCTCTCTCTCAACGACCACCTGTTGCCATTGTCGGCCAGCTTCTCCTCCTCCGCCGCCCTCCTCCCCTCCCCTCCCTCTCAGCGACCAACCTCTCCTCCGCCGCCATTCTCCCCTCCCTCCCTCGTATGATCTCCCCTCCCTATCTCTAGGAGAGGCTCTAGATATG